CAACCTCATCGGCATCAGCGTCGCCGTCTTCGTCGTCGGCATGCTGTTCTGGTACCTCTTTGCCTACATTGGCGTCTCGCGCCCCCTCGGCCAGCTCAACGCCATCATGCTCAAGTGCATCGCATTCGACTTTGCCTCGGCCGCCCAGGTCCGCAACGAGCAGGTCTTCTCGCATCTCGCCGAGCTCGCCAGCACCCAGCGCATCTTCAAGGCGATGCTGCAGATGTTCGAGGGCGAGCTGGTCGCGAACCGGGGCGCCTCCATGGCTCGCATGAACGCCCCGCCCATGGCGCCCAACGGCCGCGGCGGCGGCCTCGCCATGGCGGCCCCAGCCGACACCAAGCACGCCATGATGATGATGGCGCCGCCGCCCGTCATCGGCAAGTCCGCGGGCATGCAGGCCCCGCCACCCATGGCCGTCAAGTCTGCCATGCAGGCCCCGCCGCCGCCCGCGGCCGCCGTCACGGCGGCCCCGGCTCCCGCGAGCGTCGCGGACGCCGCGCCCATCACGTCCCCGCCTGAGGCCGACGCCGAGCACGGCGGCCCGGACGGCTCGCAGCCGCAGGCGTAAGCTCGGCTCGCGCCACGTTTATACGATAGCCTTTACCAGAGCGATCTTCACGTTGCCGAACGTATAATGTTACGGAAGTCTAATGTCACACTTCCTCTTATAAAGATGATGGTGGCGGCCAGCGGGGGCGTCCCGCCGCCGGCGGGGCCCCGCGGACCCTGCGGCCGACCGGGTGGCGTGGGAGGCGTGGCGTGACGTGCGCTTGGCCCTCGGCGGCGGCGTTCGCGCGCACGGTCCGCTTCAGAGGGCGGCGGTGGAGGGCCAATGCGAGCGAACCGCGCCGCCGGGAGCTGCTGATACCGTTGCTGATACCGCATCGTCCCGCCGGGGATAGCCTTCCGTCAACGCTGCAGGAGTTGCGTGGGCAGACGCCGGCACGTGGCGGAAGCGAAAGAGGGGATGAGAGGGGATGCTGCGGCTGCGACGGCTGCGACGGCTGCGACTGCCGCGTGGCGATCAACCGCCTGATCCGTCCCGACCGCGCCGCCCCGTGTTCTGCCGCTGCTGGCCGTCGCCGGCATGCCCCGACGCCGTGACGATGTGGCCGCGCGGATCCGGACCCAGACCCTATGCTGGCCGCCCGCGCACTGGCCCCCGGGCTACTTCGCCGAGCTGTTCCCGGCGCCGCGGCTGCAGGAAATCGCCCCCGACGGCCAGGTGCTGGCGGTCCACGACAACGACCGCGTGCTGCGCGAAAGCGCCCGCTCAGGCCTCCGCAAGCGCGTGTTCGACCTGCGCCTCTTCGCGTCGCCCATGAACGCCGCGTCGCTCTCGGCCTGGGTCGATCTTCTCCAACACCTGCTGTACTCGCGGTCCACCGCCATCCACGAGATCCACGCCGCCCGCGACCGGATCCTCGCCACCCTCCACGCCCACGGCACGCGGCTGCTCGTCGGATGGAGCCGCCATTATCGCCGCGACCGCCACGGCGCCCACGGCGCCCATGACCGCACCCGGGGCGCCTCGTCATACGCGACGGCCGACGTCACGTACGCACGGCTCGGCAAGCTCATCGAATTCGCCGCCGACCGGGCGCGTGCCGCGCGGCCATGGCTGAACCCGCCTGCCGCCACCCCGTCGCCGACGGGGAATCCGCCCACTCCGACCACGACCACGACCTCCGCTACGCCCCCAGTGCCGCCGGCGCCGCCGCCGTTGACGACGACGACGCGCGGAGAGACGCGCGCTGACCCCGCGAGAACGACGGGCGCCGCGAATGCCACCTCGCGGCATGCCTGGTACCAAGCGCTCGCGGTCCTCGAGATCCTGAATGTCCTGTTCCGCCTGGACGCGGCGCGGCTGGCCCAGGCGGCGTGGCAGGAGTGCGGCGGGCGGGCCACCGACGAGGAGAACCGCCTCGGCGCCGCGCCGCACGAGGCCGAGGGCCCCGCAGCCGCCGCACGACGCCGCGGCGTCTGGAGCAAAAGCCTCCTCTATCGCTGCTATCTGGGGCTGCGCGCCGTCAACTATGTGCCGCAGACGGTTGAAGCGGACTTCCCGCGCTACTATGCCCGGACGCTGCTCGTCCTCTGGGAACACCTGCCGACGCCGGCGTATGCCTCCCGCGAACTGTGGGCGCACATGTCCTTTGAGGCGGCCTTCGACCTCCCTGGCGAGGCGTCGGGCCCCGAACTTTCTAGCACCCACGACGCCAACGATGCCCGCGACGCGACGGAACGGCATGTCGACGAAATCGTCGTCCGCGTGATCAGTCCCTTCCTGGATAACCTGTACGTCCTGTGCTCCCACCTCGGCGTCGCCCCCGGCACGGCGTCGTCGCGCAGCCAGCTGCTCGCCGCCTTGCGCGACTTCGTCGAGCCGCGGCGCCTCAACACGATCCGGCTCTGCCAGATCCTGGAAGCCGCCGAAACGCCCGGCCTCGCCTGCCACGTGGGCTACATGGCCATCCGCGCCACCATGGAGCACGCGCGCCATCCCCGCGGCGATATGAATCTGGTCGCGCTGCTCCAGCTCGTGCTGCCCGACGCGGTGAGCCAGGTCCTGGAGGCGCATGCGGCGGCCCCTGCCGCGGCCGGGGGTCTGCGGCGCGGCGTCGCCCACGCCGCGACGCCCGACGGGGCTCACACCGCTGACGGCATCGCTCACGCGCGCGGCATGCGGCATACCTTGCTGCGGCTGCCCAAGGAGCTGCCCTCGTATGCGTGGCCGCTGCCGCGCCACCTGAGCGCCGAGCAGCGTGCCCAGCACCTGGACGCGATCGAACCGCCGGCGACCGACCCGGACGCCGTCCGCCGCCTCGCCATCAAGACGCGAAAGCGCAACGCCCTCCTGTACGCCGTCATCGTCGAAGCCTACCTGGTGTTCTATGCCGACGAGTGGGCCTGCGTCGTGCCCGCGCTGCGTCGCCTCGTCCCCGTCGCGCTCGACCGCTTAGCCGCGGCGCTCGAGCACATCGACACGCCGCAGGCACCGGTCAAGCGTGCCTGGACAGCGGCGTCCGCCTCCGCCGTCGCACCGGCATCCGCATCCGCACCACCGGCCGGCCCGGTGGCGGGAGGCGCGGGCGAAGCGATTGCGGCGCAGGGGCCGCGTGTCCATGTGCGGCTTCGCCTCCTGGCCAGCGCGATCCGTGCGAGTCTCGCGGCAGCGACGGCGAGCGCACCGGACGGCCCCGGGCGGGTTCTCACGCAGGCGGCCTCGCGGCGGAACACGCGATGGGCCGATCGGCCCGATGGAAGTTAACAGACATAGGTATGATTCAACTAATTTGGAACACGCGAAGAGGAGAAGAGGGCGTTATGAGGATGTGGCGGCGGCGACGAGACCGCGCGGACGGCCCCGATGGCGCGGGTAACCCCGATGGCGGTGGCGGCTCCGGGGTCCAGCCCCGAGGCTGCGTCGAAATCAGACGAAACGGCCGTCCAGCGGAGCTCCTGTGGAGCCATGGGGTTCCTAGAACCGGGTGTGCCCGGTAGTCGGCGGCCCGTGGACCATGCCGGAAACCCCGTGGGACAACCCCGTGGTGCCGTGGTTCACACCTGGGACTGCGTGGGTCGTGGTGGTGTGGGTCGCCGTGCCGTGGGTCATCGTGCCGTGTCGGGCATTTTGAACAGCTTTCTTTTGGTCATGGGCCACGACGCCCTGGACGTGCTGCACATGGCCGGAGGCCTCCATGGTCGGGTTATGCGTAACACGGCCGATCTTCTCTTTGGTCGCGCCCATTAGGCGGTCGCCGACACCGGTGAATGCTGCAGCCATCGCGTTCTTGTCGTTCCTGGTTGGTCGGGAGAAATGAGCCGAATCGAGTTGGAAAGATACAACTAAAAATCGTCAGAGGGGTGGTCGTGAGCACGGATGTGGCGAGTGAAGAAAACGAGAGCGGCGTGACGATGGTGATGGTTGGCAACGGGAAGGGAGTCCAAGTCACGGCGCATGGGATCGCCCTCGTCTGCCCCTAGGCGACCCGGTCGTTCGCATCCGTCGCTGGCACGCGGATCCCCGACCCCTCTTTATACCTGAGAACTCGGATGCACGATCGCGGCGTGAAGCCCCTGGTAGCACCCATGGGCGTGGGGTCATAGGCTCCCCTTGCGTGACATCGCGATACTCTCCTTCGGCGCGAAGGCGGCCCTCCTGAACGCAAACGACGTACGAGGGGTGTGCCGGCGCGCTGCTGATCACTTCCCCGCGTGCCGTCGCCCGCACGCGCGGCCCTGCCGGCCGCCAATGACGGCCAATGACATCACGGCGCCCGCCCACCAAGATGCCGTCATGCGCAGCACCAGCGGCGCCACGACACCGCCGACCGTCGGCCGCGCCGGCGCCCGGGCGGCCCGCCATGGAGCCCGCGCCCACCGCCCGACCGTCGGCACCCACGACGCCCACGGCGCCCACGGCGCCCACGGCGCCCACGGCGCCCACGGCGCCCCTCGCGAAACGTCAGGAGGGCGGTCGCGAAGCCCCGCCGAAGGGCACGCGCGTCCCGCGACGTCACCCGTCGGCGGGGCCCGCGGAGACGTCGCCCAGAAGGGCCGCCCGTCCGGCAGTGCCCGTCCGGCATTGCCCGTCCGGCAGTGCCCGTCCGGCAACTATCGGATACGAAACGCCCGCAGACGGCAGAGAAGGCGCCGAGGCGGCCACCGGGCCCGGGTGCGACGGCGCGCAGCAGGATAGCCCAGACGGACAGCTCGGCCACCTCCTCGTCCGCACGGGCCGCCGGCCACCACGGGGCAGCGCCCGCTGCCGTCCGATCGATGCCCCGCAGCCGCAGGAGTTGGCAGACGCGGAAGCCGGCATCGAAGCTTGATGCAGCACAAGGAAGAAATCGCCATCCGTGATACCGAGATAATACATACAAGCACGTGACGTCGTCTTGAGCACATGTCCACAGCGCCTGGCAATGCTCCTAGAGCATTCATCAGGTGGCTAAACGAACTTGAGGGGAAGAGTAAAAAGTAAAGAGTAAAAAGGGCTCAACCGGGAATTGAACCCGGGACCTCCTGCACCCTAAGCAGGAATCATACTACTAGACCATTGAGCCAATTTTTGTGTTTGTTGGGAGCGGGGTCGGGGTCGAGGCGGAGACGAAGATTCGATGATGAAATGATGTTATTGATAATAC